AGCAGTAGTAGCAGTAATAGTAGTAGTAGTAGTAGTACCTGGGAAGGGGAACCTCTGTTTATAAACAGGCGCACGCACTTCCTACCCAAGAAGTGAGCGTTTGCTCAAGAAGTGAGCGTTTGGCCAAACATCCGTTTTTCAGGCCACAGGATTTCAGGCTTCATGGTTTCAGGGTGCCGGGGGCAGACGAGCATTATGATGACCTCGGTAAGAAAATCGCAGGATGAATCAACATAAAGATTGAAAAAGGATTGCGATTGGAAAGGACTCGTGATGGGATTATTGAAACTATAGGACTCCCCCCCAAAAAAAACCGAACTGCCTATAAACTTAAACACCCAGAGCTCCACGCGCTTATGGCTTTTGTGCTGCGGCTGCACAAGCTCTGGCGTCTGTGACATCCAGGACCGAACCTGGGCAATGAGCTTCAAGGTTTGAGGGGATCTAGATCGCAATGTTTCGGATGGTTTCGGAATTTCTGGTATGGATGTATAGTTGATCGAAGTTGGAAAAATCTTCGAAATTAACGTCTAGGGATCGTATAAACCCTACTTGAATCCAAAAACCACTCGACGACGTGCAGCAGAGTAGCTCAAGTCAGCATTGACAAATCCAGCATCGCGAAAGTATCTTTGCTTAGGGATGTCTGCAAGAAAAGCAAGTATCTTTGCAGCGTTTTGATCGCGATAGCACGTGGGGAAATCCGCCTTGATAGGCGAGCAGCCCTTCCAACAAAATCTTCACTCATAAATGTTGCCTCCGCCAGCGGGTTGCAGGCAGAGGAGCTGTCACGCCATTCCTCGAATACCCTCAGGAATGTATGGTTCAGGTAGTGAACCTTTGGCCGCATCTTGAACAAACATAAAGACCGATCGTAGCACTTCTCCACAAGTGTGGAATATGTCATAAGGAAAGCGTGCCCATTCTTGATGACGGTCTGACAATGCGCACTCGACAAGAAGAACTCTGCCTCCAGACACGTCCTGATTACCTGACCAATTGCTTTGCCAGCCGCGAGAATGTCCTGCATAATATCATCATGTTCAAGTTTGGGCTGGAAGTCGGGGCGCTCCAAGAGGTGAACGATGAATTTCGTGAAAACTGCTGTATCCATGTTCTTCGACCATTTGCCCTCCGGGTACTCGCGTGTTCCATTATAGCCTAAAAGGTCTTCTGTGATGCGTCCACACTGAAGTTTCTGCTTGGCCAATGGCAGCCAAGCTTTCAAGGCGTCGTTCAAAGCACTCACATCCTTTGAGACGGACCCCCTTCCGAACAGTGCTTTCATGCAGTACACCATGGCACTTGCACAAAAGTCCTGCCCGACCCCTGCATGCCACACATGAAAATAATCAGCCTTGAAGAAAGCTGCCGGCGTGTCATCCTTGTCCAGCAGCATGTGCTGGAGCAGTGCGCAGCCATTCCCATCCCATGGCAATGGGTTGTTAAGCCTGCAGGTCTGCAACCAAGCAGGCGCAGTCAAGCCCAGGTGTTCAAAGGGATAAAAGATGCCATCCTCCGGTGAGTCGTGCCCTGCATTACATAACCAGCAACAGCCCTTCTGCACATTCTTTGAAGTGTGCCTCTTCCGAACATTGTGGAATGAGCGAGTAGTCTTGGCGACCTTTTTGACGAACGGAGAGTCCCCAGTAAATCCTAAAATCATGACGCGCCACGTCTTCCCACCCATTTCAAAACCATCATCTTGGAGTGCCTTCAGTTGCTGACTCCAGATTTCCATGACATCATCGAAGATTTTGTCATCAGTCTTCGCCACCAAGTTGCTGATAACAGTAAACAAGAACCTTGTGGCCCCGGAACTTCCTGCCAGATTGATGCCCAGCTCGATTTCATCCTCCCGAGCCCTTTTTGAAAGGTCTACAGTTTTGTGCCTCGAACCACTACCCAGGGCTGGAAACATGGAAAGGATCTCGATAGCCTCCTTTTTGAAGCCACGTCCCCCATCCCCATGCAAGTAGTAAGGGATGAGCCTCTGAAAATCGACAATATTCGAACTCTGGAACAAGCTGTGTCGGGGGTAGAGGGCTCGAAATTTCTGCCAGAAGAGATCAAGACCTGCACTTGCCAAGTGGACCGGTAGACCCACAACTCGATGGAAGTAGCCCTCAGCACCCAAAGTCTCCAGCAGGGCCCTGGGGCTCAGAAAAGGGTACCTATGCACACTGCCAGCCGCTGCCCAACTAAAGTCAATCGGAAAAGCCAGCCCATGCTTGCGTAGAATGCCATAGAGGGGCATATCGGCATTAGATGTCGGCACCTTTGCAATCTTGGCCAACACCTCGCAAGGATCGCGCTTCACTGCCGCCTTTGCGTCCACGACGAGATCTTTGGCTGGGACCTTGGCACAGTAGCTGTAGACTGTTCATCAAAGATTAACTCATGCAGGGGGAGTGCAATTGCAGTTTGCAGCCATGCAGAAACCAGCACACTTTTGCACTTGACTTGGCACAGACAGTTTCTGAAAGGCATCTGTGTGAAAGCACACAGGAACCGCTTGTTCGCGAAAGCACAGCACATCATCCTAGGATGGGCTTGTTTTGCGCAGCATTTGTAGCTGCACAATAAGCATAGTAGGGCGGCGGGAACCTCGGCAGAAAATCTTTCGTGCGCATACTCTCCCCACCCAGTTGTCGGTTGCGGCAACACCGTCCATCATCATAAAACTCTGCAATCAGAGCAGCTTCCAGCATCTCCAGCATGCCGAGCAGTTCGGCTCGGCAAACCTTGTGTATGACAATGAAGTTTTGAAAGTTCTGCTCGAGGTAGCTTGCTCTGCGCTCAAACGGGTTGGCAGTAAGACCAATCTTGAAGACACACAATGCAAAACCACCATTGTCTTTTCGGACAGCGTTGATCACCCGGACACAATGCCACAGAATCTTGGAGGCCACCGTGGTTTCTGAAAGCAATCTCTGATCAAGGTCAAGACTTGAAGCTGCCGAGCTGGGCGAAGGAGGCTCCCTGGTGATTGCAGAAGCCCATGAAGTACCAGAGACATCCATGTCGATGTCACTATTTTGACTTTGTGCAGTCGCGTCGTCTTCCGAATCGGTCCATGGATAGATATCCAACATCTGACAAGCACAGAGACATGCAGTACTCTAAAGGGCTACTCTGTGCACCATAAACGCTGCAAAGTCCAGTGAGAAAACTTCACTAGAACGTTTGTTGACTCTGCTCATGTAGATCTGGCAATGCTGCGTGTGCTTGCACACAGGAATCAAGCAGGGCACGCCGACGTCGCTGAGTTGGGGCCCCGGCACCTTTGCCATATTTGACCGCAATCAGCCGCACCTGCTCACTGATGACGGGGGTGACATAGCTGCCTGACAGGTAGGAGGTTCTTTCATGGCGAGGTTACCAGGCCAGTAAACGAGTAAAAGCATGCGGCACTTTACACTTTACAGGAATCTCTTTACAATTTGTGTAATGGGGTTGTCATGGGTTTTGTAGATAGTTTCGATGGAGCTTGGGGCGAGGTTTTAACTAGATATCCGCCTATACTTATTGCCGATCGAGGCGAGCTAAGACCATCGACCACTAAATTTAGCTGGGAAGTGGGGGTGGCTTCGGTATGATTTTGCAAGGCTGTTTCTGGCTTGCTCTCTCGATCTTCAACATGCATGCAGTACATTCCACTTGAACACCGATACTCATTTCCGGACACTATACTGCATATGTTCATAGATCGAAATATTTAGTTGCTTATATAATACATATAGTACACATGCAGGTCCTGCAATCCAGCACTTTCCCGCCCTAGGCTGCACAGGTCGTCCCCTGATGCTACATGGAACTTGCGCCCGAAAGGCACTTCTCATGGCGCTTGCATCAAGAGCACCACAAAGTAGCTAGCTAGCCTCAACATCCAGACTGTTCCATATTTTTGCACACTCTAGCTGGCATATACCACCATGCGCCCATTACAAACAGCACCATGCCTACACTGGCTGTTGAGGCCGTCCAACCCACTTGACACCCATGGGGTGTCAAACAGCGTGTCAGCAGAGCCCTGGGCTTCCACTGAAGCTGTGTATCCCAGCCGAAACACACCACACCGGAAGTGCAATGCAATGACATATGATGCGGGACCCACATGTGAGGTAAGTTTCTGAGTAGCACCACTAAAGTGACAGAGGCATGATGTGTCGATGGCAAGATCACGTCAAAAGCTAACGGACATCAAAAGTGTCTCACACTTCTCTGCTACTGTAGCATCGAAGCAGCTAAATCTAAATCAGACCTGTCCAATCTCGGCGCCGAGATTGATCTCACTCGGTTTTCCTCGCGGCCTTGCGTGCCCTCGTCAGCATCTGCCTTGGCGACACAGAATTGCTCGGCTTGGCTATATGTTGGGGCTACTGTCGAGTATGATAAGAGGCATTTAAGGGTACGTATGCTTAATCAAGATCTTTTGCCTTTGAGCACACCGGGTTTTCCTAGCACCATGCACTATAATGTTATAACCACGGTTTAAGGTTTCGATCTAGGCTGCTGGCTTCGGTGGTTGCTGTGAACTGCTCACATGAGAAAAGAGCATAGGTTTGCAGTGCATAATTCAGATCGAAAACCATCCAAAAACACATTGGCTGAGACCGGTTATGTTGTGACTTGTCTAGGATGGATCAGTTAGGATCGAACTTACTATGCATGTGACTGGCTTGGGAAACGTCTAGATTTTCGTAAACCTTAAACCCTAAACTCTAAGCCCTCCTTTACTCTAAACCCTTAAACCCTAAACCCCTATAAACCCTAAAGCCTAAACCCTTAAGCCCTATAAACCCTAAAAGCCCTAAACTCTAAAGTCTAAATTCAAAACCCTAAAGCCCTAAACCCTTAAACCCCTAGACCCTACGGATCTACTAATTCAGGAGTTCAGGGCCCTGGCCTTAGGGTCTTCCTTGGTTGGTCTTTGTCGATGTGACTTATATTATATCATATAGATTCTATATCGAAAAGGTCAGATGAGGGTATTGAGAAGAGGCAGGTATGGAGTAGCACGACATTAAGAGACCAGGCACCCTGCCAAAGTGAACACAAACACAACATCTCCATCTCTATCTGTCTCACTCCCTCAGTCTCACTTCCAACACCCGAACATAGGCACATAGGCCAACCACTGTTTGCCGACACAACCAACAAGTTTGAAAGCTACAGCCTCCCTATAATCCCAAAATGGTTTAATGCAACATGCTGCCCTGCAGGCCTTACTCGAGTCATAAAGTTTCTACCCCGGCCGGACATTGTCTAAACACACACACACACAGACCGAATGGCAAACCCTGTCAGATCCGGGAACCAGACTTGTTGCCAGTTTCCAAGGTTTCAGCCTTCGATATCCTTGGAGTATTGTGCTTCGAACTCAGACCAGTTCTGTGACAGCGGTCAATGGACATCGGGATTGGCTATGGTACATGCAGGCACATGCACAGGGTTTTCGCCAGGTTTCAGCTTCTGAGCTTTCAGAAACATGGCCTCGCTTTCATCCTCAAGCCTGAGTCCCAGAAGCTCAGGAGAAGAAGGTTCGAGGGCAATCAAGAGTTCCCATGCAAATAGTCAGAGTGCAGCCTCGCAGCTTCTTGGAAACTCCTACGACCTTGGCTTCAGCCTTGAGCTCGCCCATTTCCTCGTACAAGGTCTCGATCTCCTTCTGAAGGTTAGCCATCTTGTCGAGGACCCTCAGACCAACACACATAAATTGGAGTCATGACACATCACAACATGCTTGCTCACAACTGCATGCGCGCACAGGCACATATGTACTTGAAATTTCAGACAGTGTGCGATTTAGCCTTCGGATCACCGGCAACAGATACCTTAACCTTGTCCACGAAGGTTTCAAGTGAGTTCTTGGACTTGAGCACCTGCTTCAAGTACTCCTTCAGTCGCGATGCAACCTGAGTTCTCATATCGGCTTTGCACAATCGGAGAACAATTTAATTAGTGTTGGGACGAAAACCTGAGGTGCGAAGCATCCTGTCATCATGGACATCATCTGAGAGGCACTCTTGCGATGATCCCCCTCAAGGTTGGCCTCGTTCTTGTGGATCATCCGGTCATCATCACTGAAGTCAAACTTGTCAAGATGAACATCCGGCTTGAACACCAGCTCATCACCACCTTCACCTTCATACTTTCGCTCACGCTGCATCATCTCGAAGTCCTCCTTCGTCATGGTCCCAAGCGTCCTGGTGTTCACCCAGTACTCGAGGGTCTCATCATCGTATTCGCAGGTCCTGGCTTTTGACTTGGGGAGTACAGACTGGTTGTTTGTTGCATGTCTGATAACGAGGATCGGAGATGGCACAGTTGACTTTGCAATTCCCATAATGTCCAGTTTTCCTATACACACGTGAAAACTGGACCGCAATGCAAGCGTTACAAAGGCTGTATCCCGGCCAAGATCGACAGAAACCCCAACAGCAGTATGCACACACAGCTGCCACAATGAATTGCATAGCTTGCGGCTTGGAGTGCAGAATACACATATCAGGCACATGAGTGCGCGTGTACAGTCTTATACAGTACACAGGCATAGGCTGTTTGTAGCACATCGTCTGTGAACGGTTCCATATATGATGCTAGTCTCGTCGCAGCACACCAATGCAATTTGTCAATTGAACATAGGACACACAGGCTCTTGAAGGCATGTGGTGCATGTGTTGTTGTTGCTACACTGCACTGTTGCATGCTATTGCGGCTACGGGAGGGAGGGAGGGAGAGAGAGAG